GAAGGCTAATTGCTTAAGTTGGGATGATTTGCTTAAATGTACACATGAGATCACTTTTTCAAGTGGTACATATTCAAAACACTTTTCAAACAAACATAGAATCAAAGTGTTCCAGCTTCTGCAAATTAGTCTATACTTGTGTGCATCACATAGTAAGATAGCCTAATAATCAGAACAAGAGCATAATTAAATAAGAATCACATCATGATTTATAGAGGCCGATCTTTGATCAGGTGAGTGGGGTCCTCCATTTATGACCTTCCGCTTTCATACCTAAATTTCCGAGCCGAGACACTTTGGTGATGACGGACTAATGGCCTTTGGCACGAGTCTCGAGTTTCCTAAATTTTTCAAAAAAATATTTAGATGGCGACTTTGTAATCTGGCAAAGCAGTCCATTTTTGGCATTTTTGATTCAAAATTGATTTTCCAAAAGATTTGTCAGATTTGGACTCATTTGTGTTTATCTATTTCACATTGCACTTGTGAAATTAGATTCAGAACCACAGGAGTGAAATATGGGTGTTCCTTGGTGCCACATGGATGGACTTCGTAGAGTAAGAGTACCTTGATTAATTTTTTAGGCCATTGTCCTAGAGAAACTATGTTTGTTAAGTCCATTGATGCTTCAAGCTACTCAAAGGATGGGCAAAAACTCTTCGAACTACTTGATAAGTTTGTGGATGATGTTGGAGAAGTTAATGTAGTCCAAATTATCACAGATAGTGCCTCAGCTAATGTGTTGGTTAGTAAGAATCTTTTGTCTTGATTCTTAAAAAATATATACTTACTAGTTAGTTAGTTTAGTTGTCATTAAATAATCTTTTGTGTTTTGTTTCTATAATTTTAATAGGTAAGTTTTTGGAGGCAAAGAGACCACACCTCTTTTAGACACCATGTGCTGCTCACTGCTTGGATTTGATACTAGCAGATATTTTCAAATTGCCACATATGAAAAAGACATTTGAAAGGGCTATTTGGGTACACTTATAACCGTCCCAGGTGTGTTGAATATGATGAGGATGTTTACACAGTTAAAGAATTTGGTCAAGCCTGCCAAGACAAGATTTATAACAGTGTTTCTCACTCTATCTAGGATTCATCAACAAAAAAATACCTTGAGAAAGATGTTCACTTCGGAGGAATGAACAAGCTCCAAATGGGAAAATGAGCCAAAGGGTAAACAAGTAACACAGATTATGTTGATGCCTTCATTTTAGAATCTCGTTGTCTATGCTCTTAAGGTCTCGGGTCCACTTATGCATGTGCTTAGGTTCGTTGATTCTGAGAAAAATCCTTCCATGGGATACATTTATGACGTTATGGATAGGGATAAAGAAAGTATTGCAAAGTCATTTGATAAAAAAGAAAAAAAAAAATCAAGAACATCTTTGAAATCGTTGACTATAGGTGGAATATCCAATTGCATCAACCTCTTCATGCAACTGGCCATTTTTTAAATTCGGAGTTCTTTTATGCTAATCCAAGTATTGAGCATGATACCGAAATCATGTCAGGGTTGTATAAGTGTGTGTCGAGGTTGGTTCGAGGTACTAAGATTCAAGATGAAATAACTCAAGAGATGAGTACTTATACAAAATCTGAAGGTCTCTTTGTGATGCCACTAGCAATTAGGCAGAGAGTGACAAGGGCACCAGGTAATCCATTTTACACCATTAACTTTTTCATTCCTTTAGATTAAATCAAAAGTTTCTAGTTGTGCTAAAATTAGTTGCAATTCACAGCTGATTGGTGGTCTGCATATGGTTCTTCAGCCCCAAATTTGCAAAAGTTTGCCATAAAAGTTCTTAGCTTAACCTGTAGTGCATCTAGTTGTGAAAGAAAATGGAGTGTATTTGAGCATGTGAGTATCTATCTCAAGTTTGGTGATTTCCTTTTGTTTGTTTGTTTGTTTGTTTGTTTGTTTGTTCTCATATAGTAAATTTTAATACATTCTCTTATTCTTGTAGCTCCACAAAAAATAAAAAAATAAAAAAAATAACAAAAAATAACAAAAAAGAAATAGGTTGGAACAACATCTCAATGATTTGGTACTTATTAAGTACAATAGACAATTGAGACGTCAATATGATGTAAGTAACACACTTGATCCTATCACTTTAACAAATATGGATGGAAGCAATGAGTGGTTGGTTGGGAGAATGGATGGAGAAGCAAATGAAGATAACGATAATGTATTTGATGATGAAAGTTTGACATCGGGTGATGTTGCTAGAGCTTCTGGAGTTCGGTAAAGAAATAAGAGAACTAGAGCAACAACTTCAAAGACACCATCAGTGCCGAGGGCAAGGCCAAGGGGTTCCAAATTATCAAGTGCACTTTAACTGATAGATGAGGAAGAGACAGATTTAGATGAGATAGAACAAGAAGATGCAGAAGGATACAAATCCAATGACGAACAAGAAGATTATGAGTTGCATTTTGTTGATATTGAGGACAATGATTGTTAGATCCTCATTGGATAAACGGGAGCAAAGACTTGATGTTTTGTTGGTTTAATTTGTTAATGTTTTAAAATGCATGCTTCAACTTGAAATATTGTTGTTAGTTGACATTTAGATCATGGATATTCGTGTTTTATGTTAAATTTTGGAATATTACTCGTTTGTCTATGTTAAAATAGTGATATTTGTTGGTATTTATTTTAAAAAAATTTCAATGTTTCTTTTTGTTTATGTTATAGTAGTTAGTTATTTGCTTATATGCCTCATATTAAATTATATTATTTCAGCCTGCCATGGTGCACTTTATTTCGATGAAGCCCACGACTTGCCTTGCGCCTAGACCTCAGGAGACCTTGGTGCACTTATCATTTTTAATAACATTGGTTTTGAGCATGTCATTGGAAACTAGCTCGGTCGGTGTCGATCGCGTGTTTTTTTTTTTTTATCTTGGTCTTTGTGTGATAAGGAAGTAGCTCGGTCGAGCTAGAAACAGGTTTTTGTTTAGTTTTATAGTTTCTAAGGATTAAAACCATAAGTTTGCATATTGAAGTCTAGATCGAAGAAGTTCATCATTTGATTCAGATTTCAGGTTTTGGGAAGGGTATATTAGGGTTGGATTATGGAATTTGTAAGGCCTAAATTTCATTCTTATGAGTTCACAACTATAAATCAATCATTTTGAGTTACATGATGAAGAGATTAAGAAGAATTTAAGCCCAAGGATTTAAAGAACTCAAAGAATACATGGAAAATTGGAGAAAAGTCACCGTTTATTGTGCAAGTTTGGATTCCAATCGGATCAAGATACTCTAATAGTTATGGCGATCTATGAGTGGTGAATAGAATCGATTGAAATGGTTAGGAAGATGGAGATCTAGCCTTGGTGCACTTGGTTTAACAGTATATTCATGAAGTGAAGAACCTAATTTTTATGTATCATCTCTATATATAGGGAGACAAAAAGGATGCCATGATTTGAATTTTTGAAAAATGTGCACAACAGTTGGAGTAGGTACACGAATCCACTGGGCAAGAGCCATGTGTTCTCAAAAGGACGTGATGCTAGAGTTGTTGGTGCTCGTGCCATGTAGATGGCCAGACTGAATTGGACCGAACAAACATTGTAACTGAGTAAGGATTTAGCTCAATTGAATAGAATAATTTAGCTTGGTTTGATAGAGTAATCTCAATCATGTTGAAGCAGATGGAATTAAGGGGTAATTGAGAGGGTAATTTACGCTGTGCAAATGGGCCGAGCTAAATTCACATGAGCCTTGGGTTTGCATTGTGAAAATGGGTCAAACTAAATTGGTATGACTTGCTCTCCATGTCATTCTTATATGACATGGATTTAGGACCAAGCTATCCTTAGAAGACTGGGCAAATGGTTAGCGGGTGATTAGGCAGAATGTGCTGAGCAACGTTGGCCATGCAAACAACTGTGCTAAGTCTTATGGCCTAAGTACATTCTTTGGTATGGTGATGCACCGTCAAAAATTAGCATGACACAATATGTTGCACGGTGATCTTGCGGGCTAGCAAGGTTTAATTAGTTCGGTTATTTGGTCCTTGACTAAACAGGTTGATGTTTTTGTTCAGTTGATGAGTTACAACTTTTGTAGCGTTTAGAAATTTTTCTTCATCGCTCGAGCAAAGGTTTGTTCGCTTGAGCGGTCTTTTGGAGCATCTAGTACTTTTGTTTGTAGTCCAGAGATTCTGAGAGATAGTGAAGTTTTCTTGAGTGTAAAAGTGTTTGCTTGAGTGATCTGTTCTTTCATGGTTTGAACTTTGGGGGCATGAGTTTTGCGCTCAAGCGAAGGTTTTGTCGCTCGAGCGGTCTTGTGTCTCTAACGCTCAAGCGCTTGTTTTATCGCTCGAGCGGTCAGTTTGGGATCAGCACTTTGAAAAGTCATTTTTGGCTCGTTTTACTTATTCTTTTCAAATTCCTTCTTTGTCCTGTCTCTCTCTTTTCAGCCATGGTTGAGCTTCAAACCCCTTTATACCTTGGATTTCAAGTCCTTAGAGTGAAAATCTCACCCTAGTTCCTTATACCAAAATGAAAAGCACGAAGAGGGCTTCCTATTAATCTGAGTGGACAGTGTTTTCATCGAAGTTGGATTTTCGGGTTTCGTTTTCTTCTTGCTAAAGGTAGGGATTTCTTTGTTTCTCCTCAATGCTTTCTTATAGATAGATGGGTGATACGTTTTTATTGCATAAAACCTTTTGTTAAAAAGGGATTTTCTTGAAAAACATATAAAGGGAGTTATAGTTTCCAAAACAAAGGAGTTCAACATATGACTAAAGTTGATTATGGAAGTTTTGAGCTATTGAGATGTGATTATACACCTTAAAATAAAAAGCCCTAGTTTCTAACCAAACCCTAGTTTTGAATTTTATTTTAACATGAGATTTTTTTTTCCCTTCAATTGGTCTTTAATTCTTGAAATTGAGTTGATGGTTGGTTGAATTGAGTATGAATGTTGATTATTAGATGTTATTTTGTAACCAATCAGATAGATTCAATAAAATTGAATTTTATGAAAAAAGATAAAAGAACATACCATCGCCGCGGTTGTTGGTGCGTGCGAGCTTGAAATTGATATAACCAGCATCCCCAAGTCTCCTTTCATACATGTTAACAAGCTCTTCGTTTCCAACCCAAAACTCCTGTCAAAACCCACATCACAATTTCACATTCTAGTAACCAAAACGATTAAAATTTTTGAAAACCATCCATCAACAATCAACAAAAAAGCAAAAGCAAACCTGAAGACAAATAATTGAAGATCGTTCGCACAACAACCAATCCAATATTCTTTGGTTCCTGTTCAGCCAATATGCTCTGAAATCACTTTCTCGGCAGCTCTGGTCCTGTTCTTTCCACACACACACACACACACACACACACCCAAAAAAAAAAAAAACATCATGATTTAGAAATCTAATGACAATGGCGAATTAAAAGATTGAAAATAACAAAAAAAATTACATCTTTATCGAGTCTGTTGTAAATGGGGGCGAGAATATTGAAGGTGGTACAAGAAATCGAAGATGGGTCGGCAATTGAGGAAGCAATCGCATAACTTCCTATTTTTGATAGCCTACCCTTCATTATCCCCCTATTCTTCCTACCCATTTCAATAGATGGCAATATATATGTATGTATATATATATATATGCAGAAACAGAGATGATTTGGTGAAATGACAAGAGAGAGAAGGGAATCAAAGAATCCGAGGATTGTTGGTTGGTGGGTTGGTTAACGGGTAGAAAAAGATGAACACAAGGAACAACAATGTCTTATTCTCTGATATAATACCACGAATGGAGACGAATCTTTGAGAGACAGAAGGTTGAGAGAGGGAGAGAGCCAGACAGAGAGAGAGAGTCTGGAAACAATAGAGAGAGAGAGAGACGGCGCGTGTGTTTTACAGAGAGAGAGAGAGAGAGATGATGAGTTTTATGGTAATTTATGGTCTTTAAATTTGTGCCTGTCATAGCATAAATCGCCGCCGCCCAAATTAACCCAATCCCATGGTGCTAAAAAAAGTAATATTTATATATTTGAAAAAAAAAATGTAAAATTTACAAAATGTGTTTTTTAAAAGACACTGCCTTTGGTCTAGTTTAAGATCGGACTGAATTGTACTGTTGAGTTCGTGGAGATTTATCATGGATTTCGTTTTAATAATTTGAACTGTTCTCGTTGAGTATTATATGCTTGTAAAAAAATCACGTTGATTGAATATCGATAGCTATGTGAATAAAACAGTTTTTTATCAACCGTTAATTATTTCACCGTCTATTTTTTTATACAAAATTGATTTGATCACATTGATATTGATATCCGATCAACGTGATTTTTAAAAGCATGTAACACTTGACGAGTTCTACACATTGTACGGTTCAGATTATCAAAATAGGCTCAAAAAATGGACCTCATGAGCTGAACTAGACGGGTCCAGTCTTAATCTCAACTTGAGACAAGCTGGACCCTTTTTAAAATGTAATTCACACATGATAAATTTAAAATTCCTATCATATATTTAATGAAAAATAAAATTTAAAAACAAATAATTACAAAATAGTTGCGAGACAAAAAGAAACTATCATATATTAAAATATAATTTATCATCTCTTAATAAATTTGAACTTGAAGTCTCATTTATACTTCGTTTGGGAACATGCTAATTTAGTAATTTTTTGACTATTTGATTAAAATATGAGCTAAAAAAAATTAATATGTTTAGAATGATTTTTTGACTTTTTACGAAAAGATGTGCAAAAAGTAGAGAAAAAAAATAACCTTTGACTTTTTGATATAAATTATTAACTTTTTAATTTTTTTAATAATTTTTTAAATAATTTTTTAATTTTTTAACTAAACTGACATGCTGCCAGACGAGGCCTTACGCACTAATATTCTCTCAATGAGTGTTTAAACAATTGTTCGCTCTACTTTGATCTACTCATTACAAAAATGTGAAAAATCAAAAAAAAAAAATTAATACTCCCTCCGTCCCAAAATAATGGTTCCTTTGGGAAATTTAACTTTTTTTGATAGTACAATTATTGTACTTTTAAAAAGTTGGTTTTCCAAAATTACCCTTGATAGTACACTTTTTTGAGAATATTAATGTCATAATTGTACTTTTTATATTATTTATGAATTTAAAAGAAGGGCAAAATGGGAAATTTATATTATTTTTGTACTTGATTTTTGAAGAGGGACTAATATTTTGAGACAATAAAAAATAGAATAAGGGACTAATATTATGAGACGGATGGAGTAATAATTATACAAAGGTGGAATCTACAAATATGGTTGGAAAAATATATTGTCAATCATACCTAACTGTAAGTGCCATTTTGGAACTTGCCAAAAACGTGGCGTTTTTGGCTTGGGAAGGAAAACGCAATGCTACCGAAAACGTCAGAACATGCATTTGAGAAGTGAAAAAAAAGTTGTCGGGTAAAATTACCTAAATACCCTCTATGTTAATAAATTATTTAAAATTTCAAAGTTTGACAAGGGTATATTGGGCATTTTATTTTGATTCGATACCATAAATAAATATTAAACCAAAAAGTAAAAAAGCTAGCTTTTTACCAACTTCCCAAATCACTAAAAAAAAAGTCAAAAAACTTGGTAAAAAGTCAAAAGTCAACTTTTTACCAACTTCTCAAAACAACCCTAAAATCCCCACCTGCAACCTCTTCAACGCCACCAACTAGGGGTGTTAATTAACTTTTTATGAAGTTTTTTAATTTTTTGAATAGTGATTTGAGAAGTTGATAAAGAATTAATTTTTAATTTAATATTTGTTTATAGTATCAAATTAAATTAAAATGACTAAAATATCTTTGTCCAACATAAGAAATTTATTTTTTTATTTTTTTGTCATAGGCTCAATTTATAATTGTACACTTGCGTTTTTATAACTTTCCAAACTAATTTTGTTGTTTTTTTGTCACTTACATTTTTAAACCTCGAATAAAAAACGTGATTTTTTTTTTTCAAAAGTTTCCAAAACGGCACTAACGAAAGGGTCATGGTGGTAATGATAGCGGGTGATGATCATCACAAGGGGATGCAAGTGAAGGGGAATTGTAGATTGATGAGACAGGAAGAGAGTGAAAAAGGAGGAGTAAAAGTATAAAATATAGGATAATTTTGCAAGCGTAACTTAAAAAATATATTTTGAAATTAGTGATAAATTTTGATTTATTTTGATAATTAGAAAAAAAGTCGGCTTATTAATTTAAAGGTTTATTTAAGTAACACAACCTCGTTATTTTTTTATATGTTTTTTCAAGAAAAAATAAAAACCAATAAAAACTAAGAAGTTTGGTTTTTTTTTTTTCTCCCCTATTTTCCAAAATAAGCCTTTATATATATTAAAAAGTAAAATCATAAACTTTTCATGGATTTGTAATTGCTTTCTGAAGTTTCATTTGACAGGTAATTTCTTCTAATATGTATGTATATATATACACGATTTTGTTGTTCTTTTTTGTCTTTAAAATTTCACCTCTAGTGTAATTAAAAAGAAAACCCCATATTTTTGTAAATTTTTCCCCTAAATTTCATTTTTAATCAATTTTCTTAATTTCAAAACAATTTTGTTAATTTTTTTTTGGCTAATACTGGCAAGTGTATCCCTAAAACAATTGTTAAGGTGCATTTAACACCATATTAGTAGTAACTTGTATTGACTTTCGATGGTGCTACATGCACCAATTAATGAAATAACACTAATTATGACATTATTATTAACCTCACTTATTATATAAATTACAAATATTAAAAATCTCTTAAATTATGCAACATCATCAGTTGATATACTAGTTAATACATTAATTAGTGCATATAGCACTATTCATTGACTTTAGTAAATTTTTTATTTCATACTCATTAAATTAAATTATATGCATTAATTGTTTAACTTTTCTTAACAAATTTTAATTTTATTTACAACCACTTTATAATTAATACCACCTAATTAACTATTTTTAAAACATTAGTTGCAATCAATTACTATTAGTGAGACACCTTATCAAGTTACCATGACACCATTTCTTTTTTGATACACAGCATATGCTTTTGAAAAGGGAAATACTTCCACTCTTATTGTTACATTGATTCTTGTCATTTGTCTTACATCATTTATGTTAGGGGTGTAACTCGAGTGGGTTCGATCGGTTTGAGGTTTGTCCAAATCCAGCGTGAATTGTGTTTGACAGTGTCCAAGCCCGCTCAAGCCCGACCATCAACCCGAGCATGGCTGCTCAAGTCTAGACCAAGCTTCATAATTCGAACTCGGGTTAGCCCGAATTTCACAAGGCAACAAACAGCTTTTGAAAATTTCCATACAACAAACAGTACTTCATTATATACATACGTCCATTAGTCCATATAACAAACTTAAACATCATCCCGACCACAAGAGTGTCAGAGAGAGGAAAGAAAGAATAGATAAAAAAGGCTTTTGTTTTTAGTTTTAATCTAATAGTCCAAATAAAAGATATTATTTAATATATTTTATACATATATTATATAATTTATATAATATATTAAATGCAATTTCGGTTCTGGTTGCTCAGGTAAGCCACTGACTCTGCCCAAGTCCGGCCCAAATAATAATTCGAGTATCAAAAATCTGCCCAAACCCATCCAGATTATAAGATATTGTTGCCCAAGCCCTACAAAAACTCTGACTGGGCACAGGTTGCTTGGCTTAAGCCCGCCCGAGTTACACCCCTAGTTTATGTATTGTTAATATTATCCTGATAAATAAATATAGGCGAGATACACTAATGGTTCTTATAGTTTAGAATTAGTATCATTTTAGTTCCTGACTTTTCAATTGTAACACATTTGACTATGAATTTTAAATCTTGTTATAAATAAGGACAATTGAAAATGTTATTACTCAATTTTAAGGGTAAAGTCGTCAATTTGATAAAATATATACTAATTTCACAAAAATAAATATCAAAAAAATATTTTGAATATTTAAAAATAATTTATACCCACTAAAAATAAAATTATATAAAATTGATAAATCTTTTAGACATTTATTTATTTATTTATTACCAAATTAATTTTTATTATGTGTTTGAATGATGATTATATAATGGGTGGTTGTTATGCTTTTAATGTGTAATTTATATATTTAATTTATGAAATATTTTTAGTTTTGAATTTTTGAGTTAATGGATTGGTTTAATAATAATATCAAAGTTGTCGCTATATTTGGCTTTTAGAAAAATAAAAACTAATTTAATGAAAATAAAAACAACTACAATAAAAATTAATTTGGTAAAAAAAAATGTCTAAAAAATTTATCAATTTTATATAATTTTATCTTTAATAGGCAAAAATAATTTTTAAAAATTCAAAAAAAAAATTAAAAATTTATTTTTGTCAAATTAGTTTATATTTTATCAAATTAATGATTTTACCTTTGAAATTGAGCAATGGTATATTCAATTGTCTTTATTTGAAATAAGATTCAAAATTCAAGATCAAATGTGTCACAATTAAAAAGTAAAGGATCAAAATAATCCAAGACTCAAACTATAGAGACCGTTAATGTAATTCGCTCAATAAATATTGAATCCAACGCAATTTTATGTTATAATTATGGTTATCTTCCTCATGGACCTATAACATTGTTAGTCCCCTTATCATAGACTATTTTTAACCCATTAGTTCCAATGTAATTTCTTCAAATAAACATAATTCTTGTGAGATTTATAGGATTAGTAATTCAATCCCCTGAGTCATAGAGCAAAGAATAAAGCTTCGTAGCTTGAAAAAAATGGGATTCGAATGGCTCGACCTCTCTCTTTTTCTTTTTCTATCTATTCTCCTCTGCCTTGGTCTTCTTCTTTTTCCTTCTGAACTGCAACGGTGATGACAACACCAAAAGAGTTTGCGA